GAATGGTAATTTATAATCAGTCACAAGAACGTCGAATCTGAATCACTTGAAAAAAACACAGGGGTGCTTAACTATTTTCCAGGTGAATATTACAATACATAACCTCAACAATATAGGATTTACTCATTCAAGCCTGTCATGTGGCTTAATCAAACTAACCAGAGTGTAAAAATTATCTATTGAAAGTTGAGTGCCCATATTTGCCCTAATAATAAAGGATTCCTATATGAAAGCTTGCAACTCCTTACTGTACATTTACCATTCCTAACTTATATTCAAGTTAGATGTTTCTCAGAGTTAGCTGTTTTCTTCAACAAGCTTTTTCAGAACACTAAAACAAAAGCTATCAATATGTTTTGAACATGAATACATAAATTTCAATTACACTTTTATGCAGGAAACTGTCTTAGACAATGAGCAACTTAAAAAATTTGTTATATTAAGCATTTGACTAATATTACTTACCTAGAATTAACATGTACATGAAATTACCATAACACTTAAAAAAAAAATTATAAATTCTATATTTTTTATTCTATATACAACTTACAATATTAATAATCAAATTTTCATAGATTTATTTTTATATAATTTTTCCCTCGCAACAAGTCAAATATCTTAGTACTAACATTACTATGTTATAAATAATGTGAAAAAAAAAATCAATAAACAAACTACTAACAAGATTAATGAATATTTCTGGATCAGACATATTTACTTCAGTAAGGTATACAAATTCCATTAAAGCTATGACATCAAGGTGATAAAAAAAAGATTAACAATTACATGAAAAGAAAGAAACCAAAAAAATTATATTTTATTAGGAATTATTCTTTAACATATGGCTTTAGTGCTAACCAATTTTTTCACTTTTTATCTGCTCTCTACAAGTTACTTTTTATCTGCTCTTTACAAGTTACTCAGAACTAAATTTGAAAGCATTATACTTTTTTTCACTACAATGTTATAAAAATTAAACAAAAATTAATAATTTATTGCACATATTGTTTTGTAAAACAAATACTGACTAATTTTGTCATATTTTAGCAATCTTAGATAAGGAAAATCTTCATTTTAGCCCAGTGAATAAAAATTATTTAACTTCAGATGCTTTTCTACAACCAAAACATTGGGAGTAAACAGCAACACTCTGATACATGACTCAAAACTTAAGAGGATAAGATATCCTAGTCTAGTTCAATCTGCCATACAGAAACACAGCCAAATATCAATGTTCATATAATGTCATAAAACTATAACAAATGGTTTAAATATATAATCAGTTAAGTTCTCTTGTAAATCACAGTAAATGTAATAAAGCAACCCAAACTCTGATTCTTCATAGTCTTAAAAAGGTAAGACAATTAAACAAGGCACAATTAAACAATTTGCAGTGATAAACGGTTGAGCTTTTTGCATGTTATAATTTCATGACATGTAATATCATAATTTTTAAACTGATTATGTTATTTTTTACCACACATTGTTGTCAATAAAACAAGATAATTATTCAAACAAGATCTAGGAATTTTTTCATATAGTGCTGTTCTAAGCGTGGACCTTCCAGTTAAAACTAATTGCACAATCAAAAGAAAAGAAAGGAAATGTATTTAAAACACTCTCAAATGCCTGTTGCCATTTAAACTGTGAAAAAATTATAACAAACATGAACAAAATTCATACATACATACAGGAACTTATTTCTGTTTTGTGGAAAACAACTCAATCTTCTATGTTATTTGTATTTGTTCACTCATCCAGTTTAAACTAAAGTTATATCAAATTGTATGCCAGATACAATGGTGTGCATGTAATTAAAATTTTATAGTTTATTTTACAAGCTCAAAATTTTACTTTATGTATATATTTTTGTTAAAGTTAGGCTAAACAACTAACATCCAAGCTTAAAAATATTTCTAAGGTAACAGTTTACATGTATTAAGAAAAAATGCAGCATATAATAATTTAATTTACATCAGTCATTACATATTTCATCTATAAGTCCAAACATGATAAAAATGTCATTTATCAGCCCTTTTTGTTTTTGACATCATATCCCTAACACAACAGTTCTCAGTCTGTGGTCCACAGATCACTTATGGTCTGTGAGTTCCCTTCAGATGGTCTGTGGAAAGTTTGCATAATTATGGAATGGAAGTGGCAGCATAGTATACAGATTCCACTGTGGTCCACAAATAAAAACAGATGCAACATACAGGAATAAGACTCTTTAAAAGTACTGCATTAAAAATAATCTCTTAAAATCATCTTAGTAGTAAATTCCTTAGCAAAATACAGCTAAAGCTTTAAACAACATAGAAAAATTTATGAACAAAGCCTTAGCTCTTTTTTTTTTGTACTCAATAAATACCACAAAACATGGCAGCAGCTTCTATGACATTTTAAATTTATGAAAATAAGTCCAAAACAATAATTTATCGTATCTTGTACAAGCATATGACCTGCTATTATATTATGAATTCAATTCATAACTTCTTTTTTTTTTCTTTACAGATTTAAATACTTATTTCTAACAAGACAAAATAAATATATTATAGGAAGCCTTAACTATATATCACCTAAATACCCATTTAAAAGAAGTTTATTTCATAAAGTAACAAAATAAAACTTTTTTACTTTAAAAACAACTTAATTTAATACTACTGTGTTAAGCTCTGTCTGTTCATTAACTTTTTAAAACCCAATCACTGTCTGGATGGGTAAAATTTTGTTCATTTGGTTTAACTAAGACCATTCATCAAGTCACATCAACATGATCTTGAATATTCAGAAAACATCATTTCAAGGTTCTGGGGATTGCAGTTCTCAAAAAAAGGGCACTCTCTGCAGAGATAATTGGAAGACTATTGTTATGATGATAATGAATCAAGTGGCTAACGCTCTCAAAAGTCCTGTCCTTTGTTCTTACCTGGAATTATTACATAATCAATTCATTCACTGACACTGAATTATAATTTCATAATGAAATCCAAATAATACAAAAATAATTTATTGTTTTAAAACACACACAAAAAAAAACAATAAGAAAAGATTATTCTTTAAAGTTCCTTCAAGGAAAGATAACAGAAATTATGTTTCATAAAATGCCAAATGTATTTTCTGAAACTTATATTTGTGAAAGTGGCTAAAACTAAACAGAACTGGTAAAGAAAAATGATATTCTAGCCAAAGTGTCTAACTACTTATAGATAGATACAATGATACACACTGAATGGCTGTTCTTGTTATGGACTATTCCAATTTTTAAAAAACTTGTTTTGATCCATTAGACAAATTATGAAATAAATCATACATGGGGGATTAATCACAGTTTGTAATAATGATTTGCTTGTACTAATCCAAAGGCATATTTGAGTTTATAATACTACAGGCATGTTCCAAACACATATATTTAGAAATAAAGGAAAATTCTTGACTGTTTGAAAGTTCAATACTGCTGTAGGTAGACTCATTACTGGAAAAACCATGCAATTTTTTCCAAGGAAGGATATTCATACAGCAAGATTGTTAAATAACAACCAACTGAAGAAATGAGCCTTCATTATCTCCATGGAAGGGGAAAAATTCATTCAGCAGAACATTTAGAACAACAATGGGTTCCAAGATTACACATCAAACCAATATGGACCAATGCTTTTATTACAAAGTGATGATGATAATTATGAGGAAGAGCCCTCTAACCCATAAAGCTTTTCATGTGTTTGTATATATATATTGTTAAGATAATAAACAAGGATTTGAAGCTGGCAAAGGCTCACAGCAGTCCCATTCAACTACATGGCTGTCTCAAGTACCCTAATGTGCTATTAGGAACCCCTCCCCCAAACACACAGAAAATTTCCCTATGGAAAATCCCCCCCCCCAATAGAATTGCCCACCAAAATTCAAAAGATTGTTTTTATAATCACTTAATACTAATGCCAATTGATTCAAAATATTTACTTCTGAATATAACTTTAAATTTTCATACAGTAGATCAGATCAGTAAGCAAAAGAACTGAAATACATTTTTTGAGTACTCATTTCAAAATTTAAATTACCTAAAGTCAAGTATTATTGTTTAACTGTTTAAAATTAGGGCTTTTTGTTAGGCTTATCCAGGTAACATTAACCTATTGATGGTATTTAATATAAGCCACACATCTGAACAACAAAAATTATAAATTTATTTCCATTTGGCACAATAGTTCAAATTACTGAAATTTTTAGTGAAAAAAAATTATGAATGTGAATAGAAAATATTTTATAGTAATAAATTATGAATTTTTGCTTTAAAAAAAAATTACATACAAATTTTGCAATCTATGTTGTATTAAAGGCAAGAAGCTTGTGATATGTGTGTGTGTGTGTCACATCTCACAGTCGTTATTGAAATGTCCTGCAATGTACTGAATAAAATGTGTCTTCTAATGACATTTTCCAACAGCTGTTATAAACAAATGTGATCTATAAGAGAAAAGTAGAATTTCCCAAGAAAAAGAGATCAACTATCTCAGTTTATGCTGTAGTACCAATACACTTCAAACGTATTAGTTAGGCATTTTGTTACTAAAACACAATTCTTAAGGACATATAGCATGTGAGCTTTGAAAACAATATTTCAGAATATAAAAAGAAAATTTGACCAGTAAATTAACTCTACTGATCTTTTTATTACTACTTACCACCCCTTCAGGATCCACCAGTAATAATTGTTTTCTCTGGCCACTTTTCATGCCTGTTAAAACATACTGATCTGGTGACCCTTGAGACTCTCGTACAAGAAAATCTCCATCATGAACTACCAGGGCTTCACTATCTTTACGACTGACTGGCCCATGAAACCATTCCTCCTGCTGGAGAACTGTTTTAAGGTTGGAAGGTGAGACTGACTTTAATGGTGAATGGACAGTAGTTTTATTAGAAACTAAGGGTCCATGACAAGAAGTAGATGGTGGGAAAGGGTGCTGATTTGATGAAAGGTTATGTTCAAATGACCCTGGAAAAAAAACATTAATTAGAGATTAAAAAAAAAACTTGTAAGGAGATTCCAGCACAGGTAACTTCATAATCTGATATCTAAAATTTGTTTTATGTACTTTCTATCAACACATAATTTTGTGATTTTTAATAATCTTCCCAAAATAGAATCATAAGTAATTATTCCACACACACGTACCCAGTCTTGTAAATCAGCTGATGTAACAACTCTTATATCTAATTTTATTGAATAACATGAAATCAGGTGAAACACTGCTTTACCTTTATACAGAAGGTTGTTTACAATGTATGGTCACAACTTGCATATCCATTCACCATACCTCAGATCATGCCAATACATTAACTATAAAGGTTCAAAATCCTAACCCTTGGTCCATGGTGATTTTGCAAGTGCAAATGGTGCCTAAAATTGGTCCCTTCTGGAGGTTTACCTCATAAGATTTCTTGCAAAAAGTTCTCTTATTTCACATTTGCAAAAGCAGGAAAGTTTAGAATTTTGAAGAAAGAGATATTTGTAGAATTGAGCCATGTCAATAAATCAAGGGAACGTGCGATTCCATTAAGGACAAGAATGAAACTCCATGATCACCTATTGGGAGCACACCGAAAGAAGTGAAGAATGTTAAACAGTTTGTCATTAGAAGTAGCTTAAGAAAACAGCAGCTCATTGCAGCAAAAGGAGAAACTTCTACTGGAATTATAAGTAAGATAATACACATAGATATAGGTCTACCAAAATGACACAACATCTTCACAAGCACTTAGCTAAGCAGAAGACCAACTATCAAGAGCTATGTAAATGGTAGCTACCAAATGATAGTATATCTTCACTCTGCAAAAATCTGGGCAAATTATTATTGTCCTGTTGATGATGAAATATTTTAAAGTGGTTATTTTTTTTATATATACTGGTTGTATGTTACAGCTATAATGATGAATTTAAAACCTGAAGAGTCTAGAAAAATAACAAGGTGAACAATGCATATTATCAGGTTGACATGCTAGTTACACTATACTGCAAAGAAATACCATCCTTGTATGGATTGGATGCCAATAAGGTAGGGCTCCATCAAGACAAAGCATCTGGCTACATATCAGAATTAACATACCAGCTCCTTCAAAAGTATATACTAACAGGAATTCATACTCTACCATTTGCAGACATTTTCCACAGACTCCTATACCTTTAGGTTACTAAAATAGGCTCCATAAGCCATCATCCATATATGGTTGATGGCCCTAGAAAAGCATGTAAAGTGAATAACAACACTGCACAAAAGCCTCAGGGAAAGCAAATTGTGTTGCACAGAAGTAGCCCAGAACCAAAGCCATCACAAAGAACACCACTGGTAAGGGAAGAAGGGTCTATAAGGATTAATCACTTATCTTTGTATCATTACCATATATCATGAGTACTATTCTGTATACTCATTTTAATTATTACTGCTATAAAAATTATATCTAAAAAACATTATAAATATGACATTTACCCTTCTAGTGTCTTTTGTTAATTGAGGAAAAAACCAACAACAAGATCCTACTTTTCTACTGATTTCAGAAATTTAGTGATACGAGTTTTTACACCCATATAAAACAAAGATATCATTCCTAATGGAAAACTCCCTTGTTAGTCAAGAATGTTATTGTTTTAAGCATTTAAACTGATGGTAAACTACAAAACTATTTACTTCTTTTCAATTGATAAAAAAAATTAGTTGGTAAAGGTCATACATGTAAGTGTTGTTTTAATGTTGTCTATATTAGTGATATCCTGAAACATTACATTTCATTCAATGAACAATGGTTACCCAGCTTTTGTATAACTCAAAGGTACTTGCACTGTTCACAATGATCTTGATTAAAATAATGATAACTGACAATGGTCATGAGTAGCTCATAAGTATAACTCATAGTACTCAAGAGTAACTGATAATGCAGAGATCAGAATCAAAGCATTCTTGGAAATGCTACTAGGAATAGGTACAAATCTGTTTATATTCATTTTAGTGTCCTACATGTATAAATTCTCAAATACAAACAGTAAACCAGAGGATCTTCATCACTAGTTACAAACACTGTAGCCTTAGTTTAGAAAGTAAGGATTATTTTCTCACATTATTTGTTTAATATGAATTTCTATCATCGATATCCTGCTATGCTGATGCATTTGTTTGTTGTGTTTACTTTACAATGTATTTATCATAACTTTTCTTTTAACTCAAAACTTGCTTCCCTAAGTTGATACTTTCTCTGCATTCCTTTTATAAGCCAACTTAGCTTTCTTATATGCCACAGATACTGCCAATTTAGTCGTTGCTTTGGTCAGTTTCAGTTTTTCTAGATTAGTTCTAACTCTTTTCTTTCTAGAGCAGCTTTTTCCTGTGATTTAGTATTCTCTCTTTCATATCTCTTTTTTTTTTATTAAAGCTATATGTTTGAGACCAGATCTCTCTGGATTAGTCCATGTGAAATATCACTTTGAAAATACTCCACAGATGACTTAACAGTTGATCTAAATGCATATCTCACAGTCTGGATAGCACTGTACATATCTGTTCTGATACTGCCTACTTTCCACTTGGGCTTCATAGTAGCATGCAAGTACAGCACGAGCCCTCTTGACAAAACATGGATACTTATCTTTCATCTGATTCCACCAGTGTTCCACACATGTTTCATTGTAATCATCTCCTTCTGAAGGAAGTAAACTGTCTGTACACTGTAACTTGTGGGCTTCTTGATCAAACTTGGATTTTTCTGGCTCTGTCAGTACGTCCATCATGCCCTCTTGACAAAACATGGATACTTATCTTTCATCTGATTCCACCAGTGTTCCACACATGTTTCATTGTAATCATCTCCTTCTGAAGGAAGTAAACTGTCTGCACACTGTAACTTGTGGGCTTCTTGATCAAACTTGGATTTTTCTGGCTCTGTCAGTACGTCCATCATGCTTAGACATTTTTTCAAATACTTGAGTGTGGTGGTATGATCCTTTACTACTGGTGTCAGGGGGCACACCTTTCTTCTTTTAATTCAATACGTTACGTTGTGTGTATGCAGTATTTATAGTTAAAATGGCTCAAGATTCAATCTCTTAACAAATACTACATACACACAATGTAATGTATTGAATTAAAAAAAGCAAGTTTTAATACATAGGTTATAGCTACACATGCCATGAAAAAGTGGTCAGGCCATGACTTGACTGCCATTACCACTTTCTATGGCTCTTGCCTATGTCTTTCTTGCATAAATTAACGTTATTCAATATCTTGATCAATATATGGCTACACAGACTAATAAGGTCTAGGTCATTGACATTAGCACAAACCTCAGAGATTTATGGCAAACTTAAAGCATGCTGCATCACCAATACTAGTAATATGCTATGCCCTATTGCCCCTAGACCTTCCATAGATCTAGACCTAGGGCTTAAAAAAAACTTTTATTTTTATACATTAGAATCTATTATTTTCTAGATATGCATATCTTTCTAATGAAATCATCCAGAATGGTCTCAATGGGACCACCCTTTTATTGTGATTTAGGCAATATCTTGTTGATATAAATAACAACCTTTTCTTAAACTAGACCAAATTCTTTTGTTCTTTACTGACACATCTATTTCCTGCATCATGTTTGAATCTTTCCTCTCAACAATCTTGATTGGTGCGGGGATCATTTTCAATATTTATATTGCTTTGTAGTACATGCACTAAAGCATTTAACAGTCAAACTTTGCACCAGTGGGCCAAGCTTACATACTGGGAAAAATAATGATATCACTTTAGGAAACTCATTACATGGCAAACACTCCAGTATTCTGGCAACCAGAAAACACATTCATTGAAAGAAACAGCTGAATCATCATCACTCCTGGCTGTGATCTGTGTTCTGACTGACTCATCTGCAGAGATCAGTTTCCAAAAATGTTTGAAGTCCTTATAGGCCTATCATTACAATTACATTAAAATACAATGTGTATGTGAATGGAAATTCCAACGATTTCTACTGCATTAATATTCATCACCTTAGCTAACCTTATTAATGGTACACATACCCTTCCCCATAAAAAAACGTATATATAAGCAAAATGAACATGTTTAACATGAACTGAATCACAGTACTGTTAAAATGGCTACAGAACTTTAGAATATTGTTCCACACAAAACAAAAAAGCTCATGTCAATTTTATCTTTTCAGTAACTAGTTTCTTGAAAGACAAATAAATTATACCAACTAATAATTATTCCTGAAAGTAGAAAATTAGAAAAAATTATTTCAGAATTCATAAACACCAAAAATGCTTCATGAAGCTCTCATTATACTTCTATCAATGTAAATGGTTTAGATTTGCTCATGAATATTCAAACAACAACTAGAAATGACAACTGCTTTTAAAACTAAAGTTACATGTACAATTGCTTTAACCCCTTGCCACCAGTAGGTCAAAGTGCGCATGTCATGACTCTTTACAGTTACATTCAAAATTTAATTAAACTACTTTATTATCAATGTATATGAATAAAATGTATATAATAAATCAAGTTTTAATATTACACGAGTTTTAAGTTCTAAATTTTAAGAGGATATATTTAGAAAAGTCCTCAATCTCCCCAAGAATGAGAATTTTGACATTTGTTCTCTAGGTTTTCCCCCTTCTATAATTTATTTATTACCCTTCTCTGAAGTACAGAATTTAATGTAGATTACTTATTTTAATATAGTCTAATTTTTAAAGCCTTCAATCTTATTTGTTTACAGAGTAATAAACTAGAAAATCAGACCCACTTACTACACCTACCTGTCACATCTTCTCTTTCCCAAATTGCTAATAATTCTCTCTGACATTTTATACATCATTTATAACTATAAGAAAGGCAAAGTTTCAATCTATTTAATGACATATAATGCTATATTGTTTTCAGTACAAAGTATTGTTGATTTTCAGTACAAAAGTTGATCTCGTGATGTACAGATCAAGCAGCTAATTTA